ATCTCTACCAACTGAAATTTCGTGTCTTTGACAACTCCCTCTGCGAATGTTGTAAGTACTACCTCCACTTTTGTTACGACGCTTGAATTGTCAAAGCCAGATAAAGTATGCACCTTGGGTACTAGCTTATCTTCAGCTTGCATCTCGTTTAATACTCTTAGAAAAATGATGTTCACGGAGCTACATGGATCAATCAAAACTCGTTTCACGTTAGTGTCATGTACAATTAGGGATATTGACAGTGTATCGTTGTGTGGAGTCAGCACGTCGTCTGCATCTACATCTACAAAGGCAATACTTTATTCTTCCAAAACATGTCGAACCCGCTTCCCGTGTGTAACTGTGACCTTTGAAACTTTCTTGGCTGTCGTATATGTCACACCGTTAATTTCTTCTCCCCCGCTTATAACGTTGACGGTCCTTTTTGGAGAAGGAGGTTTAGGGGGCTCCTGCCTGTTCTTCATATATGCTTGCTTACCTTTTTCACTAAACAATTTGGTAAGATATCCTTGCTTTAATAAATGGTCAACTTCACCTTGGAGCAATCTACAATCTGCCGTTTTGTGACCATGATCGTTATGAAACTCGCACCAGAAATCAGGATTTCGCCTATTTGAATTTGATCTCATTTCGTTTGGCCACCGCACCTTATCACCCATGCTTCTTAATACTGTTACTAATTCTGATGTGCTGACATTAAAATTGTAACCACCAAATTTTGCCTTCGAGCTTTTATCATCATCTCGCGTCTCTTGTGCGTTTCGCTCTTTTCCAAACCTTGACGATGAGCCCGTCTCTCTATCTCTTGATCTATGATCATACCTCGGATTATCCTGCTTTGAACGTGAGTCTCTTCCTGCTGGTCCTATGTAAGACTCGTATCTGTTTTTACCGGACCTTTTTTCAGTTTAAGCATGTCTCAAACTTACCCTCTCCTCTTTTTGAGACCGGGAGATGGTATCTTCTTCTATCCTTAACTTTGTGTTGTATCTGTTGTAAACATTATTCCAAGTTGTCGCTGGAAATTTGCGTAGACTTTCCTTGAGTCGTCTCGTGGCTTCTGAACTTTTCTCATTTAAATTACTGGCAAAAGTCATAGCTACCCAGTTATCAGGTACACGTGGTAACATCATCCTTTCACGCTGGAATCTGTCCACGAATTCTCTAAGCAGCTCTGAATCTACTTGCTTTATTTTGAAAATATCCTCCATTTTTTTTCGACTTTTTGAGCTCCCGAATACGCTTTGATAAACGAATCTGCAAGCTCAGCAAAAGAATTTATAGAATTTTCGAGTAAAAGAGAATACCATGTTAATGCTCCCTTAGTGAGTGTTTCACCGAATTTTTTGACCAATACTGATTGATTTCTTGTTTGGTTAAATCATTGCCCTTCACGCCAGTTGTGAATGCAGTCACGTGGTCTCGTGGATCAGTTGTGCCATCGTATTTTGGAATATCGGGCATCTTGAATTTCTTTGGAATCGGCAGAGGAGCAGCACTGAACTTCCAAGGTTGTTGTGAATATTTATCCATATCTATTCCCTTGATTATAGGCGATACTCCAGGTATTTGCTCTATGCGATCGCTTTGCTCCTTGAGCTATTTCTGCAAGGTTAACACTAAATTTTGTAAATCAGAATTAACTATGTTACCTGATCCTCCATCACGAGACTCGCTGGGAGTTCCACCACTGCTTGAATTAACGAGTCCAGAACGTGGGTTTTCCAAGTATTATTATTCGGAGTTGGTGTTGGTGGTGCAACTGGCAACTGACTGATAAAAGCCTGAAGAGCGTTATTGACATGTTGAGCAATTAATTTCTTCAAAGCGTCATTGAGTGCTTGTTCGTTCATAACTCTGTCATTTTGATTTGCTTCAGATCCGTTTTAGTTCGCAACTCTGTTATTTTGATTTGCTTCAGATCCGTCTAGAGTCCCCTCTCGTGACTGTCTCTGAGAATGTTGTGGCGAAGGAGGTGGGGTTCTGTCATCTGCATCGTTCACTTGATGTTGTGGATATTGAGGTGGTAAATTGTGTTGGTTATTGTCGTTGACATTCAACATGGTCGTTTTTTATGAAAGAATCGATTTGGAAAGCAGACGATTATCAGAGTCCCGACAACGGAACCAATTTGTTTAATCAAAAATAGGGATTTCGGTCAAAGCTTAATTTTAGAAGAACTCGGGTTACTGATAATCAAATATAAATGGAAATAATTGATGAAAATAATAACTGAATAGAAAGCAAAGTAAATAAGTATATTCCAATAGTATTTCGTGTCCTTACAAATGTTCAGTCCTCACCTTTTATAACTATCTCTAAGTAATACATTTTGTTTATCTCATAATAGAGTCATTATGGACAATTAATGGCATTTAATGTAACGTTATTTTTGGTAATCATAACTGATTCAATACAGATTCCATAACGTTTTCCGTGATTGATGCCTATTAATTACTGATAATACATATCTATACCCCTTTTGCTATTTAGGTTCATTCTTTTGATGTGACTTCTGAATATCAATAGGTTCGAGCGTCTTTCCTTTCTGACTTCCTTGAATCTCTGTCCGTACCTGCTGAAGCTCGTGCCTCCTCAACTATTCTTTGTCAACTGTCATTTTTTTACCAGTCCACGTGTCATGTCATGTCACCTCATAATGAACTTAATTTTTCCCAATACACTCACAAATTTCTGGACTCCAATCTTACATTTCTGGGTCCACAAAACTATAAGACAAAAAGGTTACCTCATACAACTAGTGTCAATTGTATGAGAAACAAAATAAATTTTTCTCTCTTAGACCATTTATGTTGAAGTTCAATTTTCAAATTCAAATTCAAATTTATTTTAGTACGGAGTGAAGGAGCAAACAAAATTCGTACTAGAAGGGGCAGTACATTAAGATAAGCTTGCAGTTGATATGTCAAGTACACTTTTTATTAGAGAAAAGTTGAATGCATGAAGTGAAATTAAAGAATTCAGAGCCAAGCAATCAGACTACACTTTTGAAGATATTTTTTTCCTCACATGTCTTGCTTCCCTTCCCCCAACAAAGAAAGAAGAAAAAGACAATTACATCGTAGAAATAATTTATCACTAGCTAGTAGCTTTTCTTTAGGGAAGGGAAGTTGTAGACCAACCGCAAAATTATGTTAGTGTGATCTATAGAATTATAGTTTCGAATCGTGATAGTAGACACTAATATTTGTATTATGATAGATTTTTTATATTACCTTTTTAGAGTATTATGGCCGTTTTTTGGAACTTGCGTGAACGTGGGATATCTTGCAGTGCAAAGGCAAAATTTCAGCTAATGGTATTCAAAAAGGAAACAAAAATTTTAAAATTAAAAGAGATTACGACCAATGTGAATTGAACTAGAGACCTAACAAATGTTTTGAACCTCCTTGACTGTCAATCTATACTTTTTGGGCTATATCAAGAAGATTTAAAATTTAATATTTAGAGGTATAAACTGAACTTTGCCTTATATGTATAGTGTAATTTTTCCGTGAAGGAATCTTGAGTGAACCCTTTATGCCCCTAAATATGTCCTTAATGCCTAGTGTACCGAATTGCATTTCTAATAACTTTTCTTTACGTACGAATAACAATGTCCATAATGTGTGATAGCTTGATTGAGAATATTTAATGAAGAGATGAAACATAATCCTACTAATGAGGAATGGCATCTAATCAAGATAGCTTCATGTTAAAATCTCATTAAATTCATTCTAACTTTTGGTCCCCATTAACCCTACGCCTAAGCATGTCCCTATATATGACCTTAGATATCAAAATCAACCTTTAATTTGATATATTCGTCTTAATTCCTACTAGCTACTAGCTACTAGCTAGTTGCTACTACTATTTCATTTATTTGCAATTGCTATTCTTCTTTGATCTTATCCTCTGAATGATTTGATTTGAAGCTCTTATAGCACGAAGAACGTAAAAATACTATATATATCCCAATAATTAACAATTTAAAATATTTAAAAAGTATTTCCAACAAAATGTGTTTAGAAAAACAAATAAATTTAACTCTCCAAATAGTAATTGTCTCCCTACAAATCATGTAGTCTTGTTTTAGTATGAACTCAACCAACTCCCCCTTGACTTAACCCCAACTTTCCCTTCTGAGAAACCACGCGCCACCCATCCAGCTTTACCCCACCATGATCCAAGGGCGTGTGTATCATATGCTAAGCCATATGCTGCTTTGGTTAGCCCTATTTGTATAATAATAAAATAAAAAATATCATACTAATTACATATACATATATATTGTCAAAAAATTAAATAGTATGTGTAATATTATATTAGAAAATTACTTGTTTTATTCTAGGTTATCTTAGTCGGTAATGTAAAATTTTTATAAGTATACAAGACATAAACTTTTTCATATTGAAGTTGAAGTTATATGCATATATAATTATAGTATTAGTGTGATTTAGCCGATTAAATCAAGTTACCTTATTAGTATTAAAATATTGTTTGTTCTTGTAGGTCAACTTAACTAAAAACAATATGCATTGTTAGTTAGTGTATATAATTTGAACTTTTCACATTGGATTAAAGTTATAAGCATTGATAGTATAAGAACATTTACCCTTTTAATGTCGATTTAACCGATTATATTAGGCTAATGCTTTCATATTACCATAATAAACTTGTTATTAAAAGTTACCATTATTATTGTTCAATTAACTTTATAGTATAAAAGATTTATTGCACATGTAAACAACATATTATAAGTTAATTTACCGTGATAGTGCAAACAACTTATTATAGCATTCAACGTAAGTTAAACTCTTTTGCATTTACAATTTTACATCTGTCTTTGTCTCAAACCCTCCCTTTTCTCTTTAGTACATTTCTTTGTCACTTACCAAAACCGTGTCCATACCTTCAAATTCAAACTATCTCCATCCCCTCCACCCTCCTCCCCCCCTTNCCCTCCCCCACCAAACACCAAATCCGAGGGACTAAAACCCAATCAAATAAATCCACTCCCTCTTCTCATTTCCAAATCTAAACATCACTCCCCCACATGAAGTCAGAACGCCAACTCTTACCTCTTTTTTTCCTTTCTTTGTTCATCATTTCTTCCACAACCACTACCACCGCCACCGCCACCGCCGCCGTCAGAATCCGCAATGCCGTCGTTACAAAAATCCCACAACAGTTCAGAGAAGCCCCTGAATTCTATAACTCCCCTGAATGTCCTTCCATTGAAAATACCCACAACCTAATATGTTCTGATAAAGCTGTTCATGTAGCTATGACACTTGATTCTGCCTATATACGTGGCTCAATGGCAGCTATACTTTCCATTCTTCAACACTCATCTTGCCCACAAAACACAATCTTTCACTTCGTCACTTCCGCTTCCGCAAACGCGTCACTCCTACGCGCCACCATCCTCGCGTCTTTCCCTTACCTTAAATTCCAAGTCTATCAATTTGACGACTCCTATGTTGCCGGACTTATTTCAACCTCAATACGTTCAGCTCTTGATTGTCCTTTAAACTACGCAAGAAGTTACTTAGCCAATATTTTACCAACTTGTGTTAAGAAAGTTGTGTACTTGGATTCCGATTTGGTCTTAGTTGATGACATTGCAAAATTAGCCGCAACTCCATTAGGCGAAAACAAAATCCTCGCCGCCCCAGAATATTGTAACGCAAATTTCACTTCATATTTTACACCAACTTTTTGGTCAAACCCATCACTTTCTTTAACATTTGCGGATCGAAAAGCTTGTTATTTTAACACGGGAGTAATGGTAATTGATCTCGATCGATGGAGAAAAGGAGATTACACGAATAAAATTGAAGAATGGATGGAATTACAAAAAAGAATGAGAATTTATGAGTTGGGTTCATTGCCGCCGTTTTTACTTGTATTCGCCGGAAATATAGCTCCGGTGGATCACCGGTGGAATCAACATGGGTTAGGTGGAGATAATTTTCGTGGGCTTTGTAGAGATTTACATCCTGGTCCAGTAAGTTTATTGCATTGGAGTGGAAAAGGGAAACCATGGGCTAGACTTGATGCTAATCGGCCTTGTCCTTTAGATGCTCTTTGGGCTCCTTATGATCTGTTAAAACCTCCATTTTCATTTGATTCTTGAAAATGGGTTTCAAAAGATTTTGAGTTCAGAAAAGTTTAAATGGAATAAAAATGGCTGCAAGTGTATAGAGTTTGGGGAAGATGATGAAGAGCTCTGTTCTTGTTTGGAGAAAAACAGAGGATGATGGTTTTTAAGATCCAAAAATTCAAATATAATAGGGAGGATTTAAATTCATTTTTCTCCTACTAATAAATTTACTATTTCTTGTTTTATTTTTACATTTTACTGGAGAATTTTTCCTGAATGATGTATGTATATTTTCAGCTCAATATTGTACAGGAGAAGAGTTAAAAGTTTTGGTTCCTTGTTCTATACTGCTTTTTTTAAGTTCAAATTACGAATATTATGAAGTTCCTGTTTATTACTTTCGATGACTTCTCAATTTTTTTTTGATTTTTGGTTTTTCACTCGACGTCCACTACTCACATTGGGATTCGATTAAATTCATATTCATGCGGAAAAGTTCCACACTGAGGTTAAAACACTATCTAAGAAATGCAACTCTATATCCAGGACTCCATATGCGGATCCATGATCTTAAGAGGGTAGGTGCACGACTCCATATGCGGATCCATGATCTTAAGAGGGTAGGTGCACGGTTGTAAAGAGGTGCATCTAGAATTTATAATTGACGGATTTAACTTTAGTTTCTTATTATGAATCCACTACATTTTTGCAATTATAAGCTCAAAACTATATTTTTGTTGAAATTTTAGTAATTTTCGTATATATTTGTACTCTATACTGAAAACAAGACTGTTCGGAGTGAGATTTGACCCTGTCAATTTCACTTATAAAGGTGCACCCAATAATAATTATACCATAAGAATCTTTGCGCATGGGTACATATACATATATTTAATTAATTTTGAAGAAATATAACATTATTATACATGATTTGGAAAAAAAAAGTATGAATTTACGTAAACACATTTCTCTCAAGCGTATCTAAAGACTCGAATTCGAAATCTCAGTAAAAATAAGTACTTCTTACTCCTTATTACATCCCTGATCTGACTTCCCAAATACCAAAGAGAAGAGAAATGAAAAGGTATATTTCAAGTTTTGAGGGTTATTAATTGCAGACTTTGCTTTCCCCCAATTCTGTTCACATTTTGAAAAGGATTACTTAGGTACTAAGGTGTCTTAATCATAGTTGATGGCCTTTTTTTGTATGTTAATGTATACTTAGCGTAATAAATTCGATGGATGGGTATTTGAGAACCTAAATAAAGTGCAATTCATGATTCTTTCTTCCAAAAGTATTTGAATGAGGATTTTAATCCGAGGTTCACATACATATAATCTAATTTAATTTACAACATCTATCTGCGTTAGAAAATTAATTACATTTGATGCAATTTGACCGATCACAGTAAATTAATCAATCTCTTTCCTATGTTATTAATGTACAGTTATGTTAAGACGTACATATAATCACTTTTTAAGTACATCGATCTAATTATATACGTAGAATTACTTATATACAATGGTTTATAAATATAAAATCACACTATTCTTATAACTTAGTAGCTGATTATAGCAGTTTTTTCTCTATTTATCAAGTTATAATATCACATTTGATACGAAGAGTTACGTGTCATTGTAAGTTTATTTTGCCTGATAATGTAAAAATATTATATAGTGAACATAACTTATATAAGTACTATTAATATTTATACCATCACTAAATAAAACTTATACTCAAATTCCCTTTTATTAATTTGAGTTAGAATTTATGACAACAAGGAGTTGGGGTACTGCCAAAAATCATACCAAATTCAAATTAGAGAATTTAGGACATGTTTGGCCATAGATTTTGACAAAATAAACTTGGATTTTATTTGCCTATATTTTGGCAAAATCCCAAGTTCCAAATCCCAAAACGAGCTCATTGCTGGTTTTTGGCCAAAATATTTACAAACACAAATAATATATATTTTTTTTCAAAATAAATTTGAGAAGTATGTTTTGAAAACGTATGTTCAAACATTTTCATCTTCAAACCAAATTTCACCCAAATTAAATTTTTCAAAACAAATTTAAAAATCTATGGTCAAACGCTAGCTTAGCCTTGAATATTTTTCTAGGCATTCGGTAGTGAATAAACAAAGGAGGAGGAGAGCATTTATAGGTGGCATGTGTTTTGATTTCAGAAACTTTCTTCTTCTTAGTTTTAAGTACCAAAATCTCTTTTAAGTATTTATTCCATAGACCAAAGCATATAATTATACTATAGTCTATAGATTATAGCCGACTGCCAGCGATATTTGAGTGTCAGCTTGACTTTTTCCTTCTAATTCTTTATACCATTTGTCTTCCAGTCGACTTTGAATATCACAGCCTAATTACAATATGTTTTTCTATGTTTTATAGATTCCTATCACAAAGTTTTCCTTTCATTGGGCGACATGTTCTTTAACCTGTACTCCCTCCCTCCGTTCCAATTCATGTGAACTTGTTTGACTAAGCACGAAGTTTAAGAAAAAATGAAGACTTTTGGAATTTGTGGTTCTAAACAAATCAAAAAAGGGCCCAGAGTATTTGTGTGGTTATAAAAGATTCACATTAAGGTTAGAATTATAAGTTTAAGTTAAATTATTTCCAAATTTAGAAAGAAGTCATTCTTTTTGGAACGGACCATAAAGAAATGAGTTCACATAAACTCGGAGGGAGTACTTCTTATTACCTCTAGAAGAAGATTAATAAAATAAGATTTTCTAAGAGGAAAAAAAAAGATATGGTTTTATTTTTCTTTTTTCTCCCAGTGTAAACAAGCAAAATCTCCTTTTGGTTTGATATTCTGTCTACTCCTAAGTTTCAAGGTTTTTCTATTCTCTTATAACACCATTAAAGTGACCTTTTTCACATAGCTAGTTTCTATTTATTTCCCTATATGAGTCAGCTTTTTTTTTTTTTTTTTTTTTTTTTTTTTTTTTTTTTTTTTTTTTTTTTCACGTGGTGTTTTGTATCCGCATTGGAGCCCGACTATATTTGAATTCGCGTCGCGTACGGTCCCATTCGGGAGGAAGCACTCCCTACTAAAAAAAAATCCATACCTTGGGTTTGAACCCGAGACCTCTGATTAAGGGAAGAGTCCGCGTTTCAATATATAGGAAGGAAAAAATAGACTCGGCCAAAAACTTATTGCCTTTAAATTGGTTAAACAGGAACAGAACATCTTCACCAGTCTTAATTAACTTCCCTAAAGGGTATTCTTCACTTGAGGAACAATCTTTACTAATCAAAGTAAAGATTTACTATAGCAAGAGCCTAAGTGATTGTCTGTCCGAAGTCTATTTATAGTTGAAATTTTTAAATAACATATAACAACAACAATTTCAGTTTAATCCCACAAGTGAAATCTGTGGTAGAATGTGTACGCAAACTTTACTTTTACCTTGTAAAGATAGAAAAACTGTTTCCGAGGTACCTACACCTCAAATTTTTACCTATTATCTGCACAAAATTTTAAAATAACATACATCTACACAAATTTGTACCTATTTTCGTTAAGGGACATATAGCATCGTTAGTACTTTCATTCAAACCGACCGACTCAAAATCTTAAGCCGTCTATCAGGTAACCCATATAACAACAATGATAACGATAGTTCTAAATAAATTGGGATGAATTATTTTCCCTGACCATGTTCCCTATTTAAAAATTAACCCATAGCACAAAAAATTTACTATTGGAACTTTATAGTAGTATATAACATGGAAAAGAAAAGATATCTGTCGGTGAGGTTGATATTTTACGAATTAGAATGAAGGACCAAAGGAAGTTGCAATTGCAGAAAGTCTATGGATATATACGTGATTCCATGGAATTGTGTAAAATTATTAAAGCATGATTTAATTTGCAGACGTGAGACCAAGACTTTTAAGACCTTCATTCATACGTAGGGGTACGGCCTATTACTTATATGACAATGAGAGTGACATGTAGTACGTACTAGTCAATCTCTCAATTATTAGGTTAAGAAAATGTCGTCTTCTTGCGTAGAATATTAACTAAAAGCAAAACAAACTGAGTGCTATGCTATGATATATATGTAGGTCTAAGACGAGAGGGTAATATAATTTTGAACTATGTCGTGCTTCGTACCACTTTAAGTACTGTGCTTTATTTGGCATTATGCTTATACCCGCTTTAACTCATCCTATCCTTTCACGCGTTCCTCCACATTATCCTACTTTTTTTCCTTTATGCATTCGTATTAAAAAGTTACTGTTACGACTAATTCAAATTTGTGCTGACATAAAGCTTATTAAAGAATTGTCATCAGGCTGATCCGAGAATGTGTTTGCACCATAAGAAAGAGCAAATAAAGAAGAATTCCCCTCTCGATGATGACTTGGAGATGACTCGAATGGAAAGACTGCTTAGTCCCCTCACCCTCCTTCTAAAGATAGATAAAAAAGAATGGAATGACCGTCCCTCCGGTCTCACGCATGGTCCATGGAAAAGTGGCACCCGAAGGAGTAATGATATGAACTGCTTATTCTAATACAAGCATTAATAACTATTTTCACGGCTTGAATTCGTGATTTACATGTCATAAGGAGACTATTAAAGTAGGAAAAAAAACTTGTATGGTTTTGAGAAGTTTCACTGATCCCTTGTTCTACTAATTTTTAGTAATATTTTAACAGAAAAGGTCCAAATATACCCTTGTACTATACGAAATTGATCACATTTGCCCTCCGTTACTTTAGCCCATATATGCCTTTACCGTCGCATAGTTGGTCCATATATGCACTTTTTGAAACGGAATCCACCCAAATTAATTAGATCTTTCGTTAAGTGTACTAAAATATATTACAAATACTCTTTCCTTTTTATTAGTACTTTTTTTTTCTTTACCTTTCTCTTTTTCTTTCTTCCTTTTTTTTTCCTTTTTTTCCCCATATCCGAGTTCCTCCATTGCTGATACCTTTTCCATTTTCATCACCAATTCAACTTGACAAAACTCATAAATTCTTGCTAATTTTACTATCACAAACCCCACAAGTTCTTTTGACCCGAAGGAGATGAATATTCTCCGAGAAATTTTTTCGGTGGTGTTAATTGGGTGAAGGTAGGATATAGTTATTCAAATTTTGAAGGTTTTGTTCCCTTCAGATCTGAAGCTCTACGGTAGGGTGTTTGTCGGTCGGTACAGTACAATATTTAAATATTTCGGTTCAGTATTTTCGGTATTCGGTTTCTTAAAATGCTATACCAATATCGTACCTAATTAAATTCAGTACGGTTCTGTTTTTCTCCTTTCAGTTCTGGTTTATTCGGTTCGATAGCTTCGATTTAT